AGTTAAAAAAATCAAGCCGTGTTTACTTACCAGCCATGATTCAATGGGGTCTTTCTTTGCCAGGTCCCAATGTCACCTTAAAAGTATCTTGAATCTAAGGACAATTCCTATAAAGCAAGGGACCTTCCGTGTCTTTATGCTTTACCACCTGAAGCCTTGCAGGGAGTACAGTGCCTTTCTTTCTTCCTTCCTTCCTTCCTTCCTTCCTTCCTTCCTTCCTTCCTTTCTTAGTAGGCTCCAGCTCCTCCCAATGCGGGGCTTGAACTCACAACCCTGAGATCAAGACGTAAGCTGAGATCAAGAGTTGGATGCTTAACCAACTGAGCCACCCAGGCGCCCCTCTAATCAGTCTTTTTAAAAATACTTAAGGGGCGCCTGGGTGGCTCAGTCGGTTAAACACCTGACTCTTGGTTTCAGCTCAGGTCACGATCTCACAGTCGATGAGTTCAAGCCCTTCATCAGGCACTGACAACACGGAGCCTGCTTGGGATTTCTCTCTGCCCCTCCCCGGCTTTCTCTCTCTCTCTCAAAAATAAATATGTAAACACTAAATTTTTTCTTTTTTTAATTTTTAAAAATACTTCAAAAAGTTTGCGGTGCCTGGCTGGCTCAGTCGGAAGAGCGTGAGACTCTTGATCTCAGGGTCATGAGTTTGAGCCCCACGTTGGGTGTAGAGATTACCGAAATAAAATAAAATAAAATAAAATAAAATAAAATAAAATAAAATAAACTTAAAAATAAGAATACTTGGGGCACCTGCGTGGCTCAGTCGGTTGGGGTCTGACTTCAGCTCAGGTCATGATCTCACGGTTTATGAATTTGAGCCCCACGTGTGGCTCTGTGCTGACAGCTCAGAGCCTGGAGCTTGCTTCAGATTCTGTGTCTCCCTCTTTCTACCTCTCCCCCACTCTCTCTCTCTTTCTTTCTCTCTCTCTCTGTCTCAAAAATAAACGTTAAAAAAATAAAATAAGAATACTTAAAAAATTCTATATATGTATTAATGCTTAGTATTGTTTAGTATCATTTAAAAATTTATTTAAATGATATCATAGTATATATATTCTGAAATTTTCTGTTCAGTGACTTAATATTATGTTCAGAGATTTATACTGAGACTTGATGTAGTTTATAAATGATGAATTATATTTCATCTGTTCCAACTAACTCTATGGTATTGTAATTGATGATCAGATCACATTGTATCTAGTCCTCTACTGAGGGACATTTAGGAATGTTCCAGCCTCTCACTATTTCAATTTTTCACTTATGTGAATAACCTTGTATTTACTCCTTGAGCACAAGTGGGGAATATTCTCTGGGAGTTATGCCTAGACATTCTGCAGTTTATCTTAGTTTGGGTTTGTTTTTTGTTTTTGTCTTTTTCTTGAAAGAATACAGATATCTGCCTAGTGCATGAATGGCTGCTTGGAACAAGTAACCCTGTAAATATAAAAATGCTTCGTAAATTGTGACACATGGTATAAATAAATAGTATTATCGTTCACAACTTAGTGATCTCTGCAGTCTGGCTTGCTGGAGATCATATATTTAGGGGACTAAGAGCTTTCTTCCCCCCTTAAATTACTTATAAAATAAGATTGAAATATGAAAATTACATGATAGGTGGTTTAACCCAAAAAGTTCTTAGGATATGGACACCTACTGTTGGAGAAGTAGAAGGAGGCATGGGAGGAAATTTGGGGGATGTTTGTTAGGGATCACTACTTATAAAAGGGTTGGGGGAGGAGCAGGATTGGGCAGAGGTTGAACTGTAATATACCGCCCCAAGCTTTCAGCCTGGTGGGGAGCCCTGAAGTGCATATTCCCCATCGGTGTCCTGCCTCAGGTTGGAAGGGCTGGGTCTCTATACTCCTGCCTTACGAGGCACCAGAGAAAGGTGCAAGCTCAGGTGACGTGGCTCTCTGTAGTTGTGACAGCTCTGAAGAAAAGGACAGCTACAGGCTATCCATGAACCCCTCTTCCTGCAGCTGGGCTGCACCTCAGGCCTTCTTTGAAGGGAGATCCTGGGCTGGCGTCTCCATGTCCTTCGTCTCCTTATGCTGCTTGAACCCATTCTTTATGGGCATTGAAAAAGCAGCTTCCCCAGGATTCCAGCAGCCTCTCTGTTTGAGGTACACTTTTTGAGAAACAAATTCTGCCTCCATCTCTACAATTGGTCTGGGGCAACAGTTGACCTACATCATTTTCCTCCTACACTGTCTGTTGTAGATCCCCCTCACCCTCAGCTACCAGCTCTTCTGGCCTTGGAGTCTTACCTGGGGGCTTGACCTGGACTGCCATCAATGAGGGGCCTGAGCCCTGGTCACCATTTCCTTCTCTGGCCAGGCTCCTGTACTTGTCAATTTACAGTCACGATCGGGCACGAATTTCTCCCTGCCCCGTTGCATAATAATAGCCTTACCTGTTCCTGATGATCAGAGTCAATTACCCCTGCCACAATGGTGACTTCTCTTCTTGCCTGCTGGCCCTGGACACAAGAAGCCCAAGGTGTTTGGGCAATGGCTGTAGCTTATGATTCAATGCGCTCTTGCTGGGTCCCCTGGAAAAAGTGAATCCTCTTTGGGGCTGAGGTCCTCTAAGCCTGCAAAGCCCAGCAATGTGGGGACAGGAAACACAAAGTCCCTCAGAAGCGGGTCATTGAGAATGATGGTAAGTGAGGCCATGTGGACTTATTTACACTTCCTATTGGGAATACAAAGCTACCTAAAGACTTTGGTTCAAGGCACATGATGTGCTCTGGAAGATGCATCCTCACAGAGTAATGTCTCTAGCTGGCACTTCAGCTCTGTCTTCAGCAGGCTGCTCCAGCCCCATCAGGCTGGCAGCGTCTGGGTGATATGGTCAGCGGATCCCACGGTCATGGCCCATTTCCGCACCTCCTTTCTGGTGAAGTTAGTTCCCCTGTCTGACACAACGTGGGATCTGGTACTGGTGGGTCAAACACTCTGTAAGCCCTCAGATAGTGGTGCTGGATGAGGAAAGGAAAGCTCATACCGGAATATGTCCTGCAGGAACAAACTGTTGACCTTTCCAAAAATGGAAGGGGCCCAACGTGGCCAACTTGCCCCCACTTGGCCAGTTGGCCTCATTGAGGAGTAAGGGGCTCAATATTGGTCTCTGTTGCAGACAAATTGGACGTTGGACAGTGGCAGTAGCTACATCAGTCTTGGAAGTACAGTTAGTCCTTGCTTTGCATGGTTCCAATATGCACAAAACTTCAGTTACCATGATTTAGTTAAATAACACCGGTCCCCCAACAACACGGTTCAAATATCCTTTACAACACTCTATTAACTGTACAAACTGTGCAGAGCGCAAACCCCAATGTTAGCTCTGTAGGCCAACGATCACTATGTAAATAGAAGATGCATGTCGTGATCGGTGCTGATCACATCACTTCTTTCAAAGTCAGGTGGTGACCGGTCACTGCCCACCTTTGTTCAGTTCACACACAGGTGGGCAGCCAAGCATCTAGTTGTGTTACCTGGTTCCCAGCGAAGCTACCCATGTGACAGTTGACTACGATGGATACTCGAAAAAGGGAATTGGCCAAAGAGATGAAAGCATGGCAATGCATCCCCACAGTGATAAGGCTGGAAGTGAAATCGAGTCAAACGAATTATAGAAGAAACAGCTGACTCTGGGAACACGCCCCCAGCTGTCCTTTGGGAGCCTCTAGATGCACAGCAGAGGAACTTAGTGAAGGCCAAAGGTAGCGACGGAACTGAGAACGAGGTGGCAGCAAGAGAGTGGAGGTGTCCCAGAGGAAGCGGACCTCGCAGAAACTTCACGCGGACGCGGCTCTTTGAAAATTCTCATGACATTCCTGTTCAATTTCGTGGAAAGCGCAAAGCATAAAATGTCGGAAACTGATCCAGACTTAGAAAGAAATACAACGGTTCTCCACAGAGGCATGAAAGAGATGCTCTCTCCATATAGAAAAGTATACAAGATGGTAAACATTGTCCAAACTCTTGTTGCTAAGTTTACTTATACAGGAATAAACCACTAGTTTCCAGACTTTCTCATGTTTTCAGTCATAGTTGACTAACAAAATATTAGTCGTACTATTTTTTTTGTTTCCCTATACATGTATAACCAACAGTAAAATGGTTTTTAATATTTTGACAAAACGTTTTTTTTTTATTTTTTTTTTATGTTTATTTATTTTTGAGACAGAGACACAGAGCATGAACGGGGGAGGGTCAGAGAGAGGGAGACACAGAATCTGAAACAGGCTCCAGGCTCTGAGCGGTCAGCACAGAGCCCGACGCGGGGCTCGAACTCACAGACCGCGAGATCATGACCTGAGCCGAAGTTGGACGCTCAACCAACAGAGCCACCCAGGCGTCCCGACAAAACGTTTTTAAAGTCGCAGAATGACCATCATTTTTCCCCCACTGATTTTTTTAAAATGTTTATTTTTGACAGAAGAAAAAGAAAGCACATGTGCGCATGTGTGCGCGTGTGCACACGCACGCACCTGTGTGCACATGCATGCACATGCACGGTTGGGGAGGGGCAGAGAGAGGGAGACACGGGATCCGAAGTGGGCTCTGTGCTGATAGCAGAGAGCCCCATGCAGGTCTCAAACTCACAAACCATGAGACCATGACCTGAGCTGAAGTCAGGGGCTTAACCGCCTGAGCCCCCCGGGGCGCCCCTTCCCCATTGATTATTATTATTTTTTTTAATTTTTTTTCAATGTTTATTTATTTTTGGGACAGAGAGAGACAGAGCATGAACGGGGGAGGGGCAGAGAGAGAGGGAGACACAGAATCGGAAGCAGGCTCCAGGCTCCGAGCCATCAGCCCAGAGCCCGACGCGGGGCTCGAACTCACGGACCGCGAGATCGTGACCTGGCTGAAGTCGGACGCTTAACCGACTGCGCCACCCAGGCGCCCCGTTCCCCATTGATTATTAACACTGCACGGTTTCAGGGTGCATGGTCATTTTTACCATCCCGCACTACTGTGCAAGGCAAGAACTGCCTTTATGTGCCCTTGGAAATATTCTCAGCCTCCATCTCTGTCACGGTGGCCTCTCCATTCATGTGCCCATCATGCCAGTTCTCGGGTGGCCAACGGCCTAGGAAGTTCAGACAGTGAGATGTCAAAATCTTTGGGGACATCCACCAAGATGTCTCCATTCCACCTGTTAGGACTAAAGGTTTTTCTAACCTAGTCCCCTCTCTTGACATGGGCCTGCTTTAATTTTTTATGTCTCTTAGCTGGAAGAGTCCAAAATTTTTTCTTCTCCCACCATTGCAGGTCTGAAGGTGCATCTGTGAATATCCAGTGAGCCTTCTGGCGTTCACGCCTGGATTTCATACATGGTTTTCACCCTCAGCTGCTCCTTAAGTTTCTGTAGCCATCAGTGGGACTTAGCCATAGCCACCCAATCCAATTATCCTTATATCTACCTTTTCCTTCCAAGTTTCAAATACCTGATACATCGCACCCACTAGTGCATTGGCTTCTCCTGGTACTCGTGCCCAAATCACCCCCCACCCCTCAGCCCCCCGCCCTGGGAGATGTAACAATTGAATGGCCGCCGGTGCTAGCAGCATCTGGACTCTACTTACCACCAGCGATGGGGGCCTCACGGCCAGCCTGGTGGTGTGTGATCCACTTTCAAACCCTCACTTTGTCGCCTGCTTTCTGGGACCACGCCCAGCACCGATGGCCGCAGGTTAGAGTCTCTGGAAGTCTGGGGTGCAAGATGGTTGTCAGAGATGAACACCC